TTGTAGATATAATAGATTCTCCTCGGGTCCTCCGGGTGGACATCTGCCGTTGGACGCACTTCACAATGGTAGCGCATCTGGACGTCATAACATAGACCGGAAGGAAGTTGAGCAATGGGAAGGCCTCTAATGGCAACGGCATCTTCACCCTCAGACCACTCGGAGTTTTCCTCAACGAGGCTATCATTTAGCTGGACGAGATCTTCTGCGGTGGCATCACCAGAGCCAGCTGATTTTGGTAGACTCTTGGGCGGTGACATTGTGTGGTTGTCTGCTGCAGCAGTTGGCTGAGAGCTTTGCACGCTAGCAACTGACTGGACAGGCAGCTTGAGAGATTGGCCTAGGAGGGGTGGTACGAGCCACGGATCCGATCCTCCATTGCTATGGCTAGCACCATCATGAGTGAGATGCTGCGAGGGAGCAGGGTTGGGGATATGAGTAACCGCCTCTCCCATGACAGTGTCTTCGTCCTCTTCCACAGCCATTGCGCAGAAACCTAGACGAGTCGGTCTATTTCTGTCTCTTAGACGTCTTCTGTTCACTCTAGCATGCCATAACCAAACCTGTCGTCTTTGGGCAATTACGTCAGTCTCACAAGACCCCGAGCTTCCCTGGGCAAGATACCTCGTCGATAAAGAACAACTCGAGAAGTGACCAATAAGGGTCGAGCGCAAAAGACATAAAACAAGTGAAATGGGCAGTACAATAACAATAAGGGATATAGGAATGAAACAAGAGCCGCAAGCTGTACTAGGGTATAAGGCAGAACAGTAGAGGTAGTTTGCGTTGAGGGATATCAAACCACAACTGTGGAGGAACTACTAAATACTAGTAGTTCGAAGGCCTAGAAGCTCAACAACGAAGACAGCCTGTACTAGACCAGACCAGGGCGATCTAAGACAGATGTTCGAAAAAGAAATAAAGTCCTCACCAGCCCAAAAGAACCACAGGTAAAGGTTGATCTACTACGTGCACACCAATATAAGTGTTCTGGTGCACGTCCTGGAGTCTTGGATTATGTACTCTGCTCCTTGGAGAAGCCCCAAAAAGCGTGGTTACTTAGCTTCCGCACGTGACTACAGCTGGTCATAGACACCAAACAGGCCACATGCACCTAACGGCAGGAAACCTCAACACTACTAGACTTGATATCGGTTCGTATGGCTAACGGAGATGAATCGAACTGGAGATTAGAATCAAGATAGTGAACGGACGTAAGTGAGAAGTTTTTCAATTGTCTATCTCCCGCATTGACAATTTCCAACAATCACTTGCACCCGTCCGAGAATTTCCCGTACTTCGCCGAGACCCATCAGCCAACAAAGCTAGCCACGAGCATACTACCTCTGTGTACATATTCTGGAACTATTCTAAGCCACCTGTAATTGAGCCTACTCCCAATAAATACGCTAGTATTTTAAATCTAGTGAGAAGGACTTGTCAGGTCCGACTTGTATCCAGTATGAACGTCAAATCATTTCATTAAATAAGTACGTTATCATATGCTTTTTATGCGATATGTAGATCCCCGGTCAACAGGGCACTTTGTTATCCCACAGGCCAATTTCTCGGGGTGGTGACCTGATAATCCGGGAACGTGGAACAGTCAGGGGACTAGAATGTTTTGTCTATAGAACACTTCTAGTTTCTGGTCTCCGTCCTGATTCCTACTGGCTATCGACCTTGGAGATGTAGGCTAAAAGAGAACCGTTAACAAAAGTTCAGAAAGTCCGGGCTCAAGCCTGGAATGACTTACCAATGAGGTCAACAACACGGCGGGAGTAGCCCCACTCGTTGTCGTACCAGGAGACAAGCTTGATGAAGTGGTCGTTGAGGGCGATACCAGCCTTGGCATCGAAGATAGAGGAGTGGGCATCTCCGCAAAGGTCAGAGGAGACAATGTCGTCCTCGGTGTAGCCGAGGATGCCTAATCAAGTTAGTAAATATTAAAAGTATGGAAAAATAAACGAAGGATTGAGCTTACCCTTGAGGCACCCGACTCGGAAGCAGCCTTGATGGTCTTCTTGATGTCCTCGTAGGAGACGGCCTTCTCGGTACGGCAGGTGAGGTCGACAACGGAGACGTTGGCGGTGGGCACACGCATGGCCATACCAGTGAGCTTGCCGTTAAGAGCAGGAATGACCTTGCCGACAGCTTGGCAGCACCAGTGGAGCTGGGGATGATGTTCTGAGCAGCAGTACGGCCACCACGCCAGTCCTTGGAGGAGGGAGCATCGACAACCTTCTGGGTGGCAGTGTAGGAGTGGACAGTGGTCATGAGACCCTCAACGATACCGAAGTTGTCGTTGATAACCTTGGCAAGGGGAGCAAGGCAGTTGGTGGTGCAAGAAGCGTTAGAGAGGACGTTGATGTCGGACTTGTATTCCTTGTTGTTGACACCCATAACGAACATGGGGGCATCAGCAGAAGGAGCGGAGATGATGACCTTCTTGGCACCACCCTTCAAGTGAAGGGAGGCCTTCTCGGTGGTGGTGAAAACACCAGTGGACTCGACGATGTAGGCAGCGCCAGCCTCACCCCAGGGGATGGCAGCAGGGTCACGCTCGGCGAAGAAGCGGATCTTCTTGCCGTTGACGATGAGGCCCTGGTCGTAGGTCTCAATGGTGCCCTGGAAGCGACCGTGGGTGCTGTCATACTTGAGCATGTAGGCCTACAGCGTGGATATCTAGTTAGTTCAAGGACGTTTTCCAATAAGGGGTCACTCTGGATGATCATGAGAGGCACGTACAGCATAGTGAGTCTCAATGAAGGGGTCGTTGACAGCAACAACATCAACGTCACCGTGGGCGATGCTGTACAAGAACACTTAGTTAGAAGCTTTCCCCAGTAGAAAAGGCTAGAGTGGGCAGTCCCATTGATCGGGTACCGGTCTGGACCATGGAGGATCCGACCATAGCCTGGGAGGCGAATTGGATCACTTACGCGTTACGGAAGACCTGTTATCTTGTTAGTCTCAATGAAGTATTGCCATGTCGTAGAAAGGATGGGCAACTTACAATACGGCCAATACGACCGAAGCCGTTGATTCCAACCTTGGGGGCAGCCATTGTTTGGATGTGTCTGTTAAATTGGCGGGGTAGCTGTCAGTCAATCTGTGTGGAAAGGAAAACGGTAGACACTAGGAAGTGGCTCTGATATACAAGATGCAAAGGGGACGATGGACGGGAGACGACTCACTTTAAGTAAGAAGACAAAGGGATAAAGTGATTGCAGTGGTGTGTATACGAAGAGAGTAGAAAAGGGGAGAAAAGTCGGACGGCGGGGGAGGGGGAGATAAAAAAGAGCGATGTTGACTGACGCAACGACCAGGTCACTAATCCAGTCACCGGGCGGACAGACGCGGCAAAAGCTCCAGCTCTCCTCAAGATCCAGAGTGAAACGGGTCCTTGTCAGCTGTTTTCCCGGCTTGCGCCGCTCCCCAGGTCTCAGCAGCCCTTTCCGGTTTCATACACCGGGCAAAGCAGGAGACTCACGATATTTGGGACTCTGCCTCTCCTCGGCAGCTACCGGTCTGGCCAATGAGCGTGCCTCAAACCCAGCATGCCGGGTACTCAATCCTACCATCTCGTGAATCTTTTGCCAACTTTTCGGGATCGAGGGGTCAGTACTACCTAGGCTACGAGGAAGACGATCCCGGCTATTACTCTATCTTTTTGTCCTTCGTTCCGTAGTTCAAACAATTGAGGGGAGAACGATACCCTGGGGGCCCATTCCTGAGGCATCCCCATAGAGGGGCATGATGTAATTCCAATCTGGCCATACACAGTACTACATAATTCTACCTACATTGGACCACCGCATCCCACCCAAGCTTAATGGAAAAATGAGGGGCACTCGGTTTGACCTTTCCGTTTCCAGGTCGACATATCGGACCGGATCAACTATGGTCCACTGCCCCTCCTCCCTCTCAACACTCACATCATGGCTTAGCGATCTCATCTTAGCCTCTTCTGTTCTCCTGATTCCTGAAAAGATTCACCGGTAGGCAAATGAGGATCACGCGCTTGTCATGGTTTGGTACTTTTTAATTTTCAATTAATCATCTTCTGGAAATCTTTTACTGTTGTTTATTCTTTTTAGAAGAAAAAATTCTAATTCAAATTTTCCGCCTTGTTGGGGAACCTGGATCCCCAATCTAGAACTTTGCATGAACCTGTACTCGGGGTTTGAGCCAATAGTCTTGTCTCTTTCTCGGTGATTTGATACCTTGGAGGAAGTATCACTCGCCATGCATGCAAAACACATAAAACGTCATGAGATGAACTCAATGTGCTTGTCATGTCACACAGTCAGGCGATGTTGAATGACATCCACTTAAAACATGGCTAGTTTAGTCCAATTGAAACGATCTAGCCTAAACATAATACCCTCAGATCTTGTTTATACTAGACGCCGCTACGGAGTACAGTACATGCAGTATACGATTACAGACTCAGTATCAAGCCATCAATCAATCCAGACTCTACCCCACTCTGATGTAACCGGCGTCTAGATCAAAACAAATCGTCGATCTAAACCATTGACAAGGTCATCCATCATCCAACCCTCAATCCATTCCCACACCCGTGGGAAAGGAGGGTGAGACAGCATAACAACATGGCCACTAAGCTATAATATCCAACAATTAAGATACAGAATCAGTACACTTGCAGGCTAGGTCGGACCACGGTGTGGCATGTCAACGTACCATCATGGTTTTTCTGAGTTCCAAATTGAACTTGGCAACTCACCAGTGTTTCATCTGTCAGTTGATTCGCCATCTGGAGAACTCAGTAAAGTTAACATGTCCTAGATAAGGGTAGATCTGTTGAGACTGGGCCATGGATTTAGCGTCTCCATGTTCGACCCAACCTACTCCATACATATAGCCACAGCACTGACGTCTATACACTTCTTCACTGCTCGTTCTGTTTTACGTCGAGTCCATGGCATGATAGTAATTGCAGGACAAGGGCCATACTAAAATCAGATGAGAGTAATAGAAACCGCACATGCGGGTATCTCAAGCCTTGTTGCGGGCCATTCTCTATCAACCTATGAAGAAAACGGTATACAATCACAAAGATCGACTAGATGCATGTCTAATATTTTCCTCGAGAAAAGTACCAACAACATTATCTCAGCAAGGCAAAAGGATTCCAATTTGGTCCTGCTCCCACTCAATTTACATCGCATCTATAGAATACAGAAGGAGCAAAGCCGTGTACTAGGTACTCTAGCATGCTGTCCACAACAACCAACTGTCTACTCTTCCTTGACACCACCCCTCCAGTTCTTCTCCGCGTTCTCAACGGAAGCCTTGTCACTTTTGATCTGACCTTGGTTCAAGAAGCTGTTGGCAGCCTTGAAGGGGCGCGCGAGGTCACCAGTAGCGGGCTTTCCAAAGACGTGGATCTTGACCAGATTCGATTCCAGAGCACTCTTGAGGGGAATGATCGACTGGATCAGGAGAGGGTTGGTGTACTTGAAGTACAAGTGCATCACACACATCATACCGACACCCATCAGTTGTCCCTTGAACAGCTGGCGCAACTGCCCCTGGTCGTACTCCATGTTGGTGGTGGTCACCGGACGGGGCTCCTCGTTGCTACCGAGAGGAGCGGGCTCCACGTACTTCAACGTAGCCATATCTAGTAGCACCAATCAGTTACCTATTTGCGGTGGTCACAGAATAAAGCGTGGACATACCCTTCTTGCTCTTGATCTTGGACTGCGTGTAGAGATAGATACCCAAGATAAGCACGTTGGACAAGACATACATGCCACGGACGATAAGAAGAACATCAGGGTCATCAAAAGGGATCTTCTTGGCCAGCTGCATGGCCACCACGATGATGGCCAGGTTGGTACTGTGTGATTGATTGATGGTAAGCATATGTTCCAACGTAGAGTAAACCGTTTGTCGCAGATATTTAAACAATAGCTACAGCATATGGCACATAGTTACTTACATTTGAGGAGACACCATGTTGACTGCAGTATTGAGTGACCCTTTTGTGACGAAGCAGAAGCAGCGCGCGAATAGCTTGAGCGGATGGGTGAAGGATTGGCACGCGTGCAGGGACAAAATCTTCCTCAAACTGCGGAACTGGACCCCCGGGGAAGTCGGACAGCTGTCCAGATAGGCACTGAGGCACGTGACAGGAACTACGCCTAAAAGAGATTCCCGCAAATTGCCACAAGTTCACAGCCTGAGGCGATAGAATCACAGTAATAAGGCATCTAAATCACCTGTTTGCTTAGATAATGCACTGAGCAACCATCATGCTTTGCACCCTTCGCTATTAACGACAACAGTGATCCTGTGCTGTTGATGAACGTCCACTATACAGCCTCTCTGTACAATGTCAGAAGCTCTGGACAAGGTTCTCACACTGCCAGAATACATTAAAGACTATGTCTCATACCCAATAACTTACTCTTCCTCAGAGCAGAGGTGCTACTGAGTGACTCCTCAGCTATGGCACAGGCCCTCATCACTAACGCCTATAACTCTCTTTTCCTTTTGGACACTGTATCAGACCATGTGCCATCATTTGGATGTGCACTTGCAATTGAACACTGCTTAGCTGCTTTGTTCGTGTCACTAAATTGACCAGCAAGCTCACCTTCCAGACGTCCTCCATCATCTGGAGACTTAAGATGATGTTCTGGGTTTCCTAATCAGGACTAGCGCCCTTTCGCGCTCAACGCCGTCTTTAGCGACCAGGATGGCTTTGACATTTCTGACTCCTTCATCCATCAACAACGCGCGTGCCGCTGGTGTATCGAATCGCTTCAACGTCCACCATCGTGCTCTATCACTTCAAACACCCATTTGACGCGACATTTCCATCTCTGCGACCTTAAATCTCGACGCTTTTCAAAATGCCTGGTGGAAAGGGAAAGTCTATCGGCGGCAAGGCTGGTTCAAAGGACTCTGCGGGGAAGGCTCAGAAGTCCCACAGCGCAAAGGCCGGTCTGCAGGTCAGTAGACGTATCTTTCTTGTTGTTCCTGCGGTACTCGCGTTGCTGCTATGCCCGGCAACTTGCGGGAGCGTGTGAGAAGCCTCTGGTCTCGAAACTTTTTTTTCCCTTTCTCACTTGCCCCTCGCTCTGGTGTATTACCTCTTTCTCGTCTTCAATCCTACGTGGCATATGTCAAATGATTGCAGTCAGGGCTCCATGGTGTCGCCAGGAGTGGGACATTCGGGCGTTTCCAGAAGACCTTCATCAATTGCACACTAAATTTAAACCTTTTGCGATCGATCATAAGTACTGATTAATGTCTGCTTCTAGTTCCCTTGTGGTCGTGTTAAGCGTTTCTTGAAGAACAACACGCAAAATAAGATGCGCGTTGGCGCTAAAGGTAAGGTTCATCAGTCGCAAACTATGTAGCCATGATTTGTCATCTTTCATGCGCATCACTAACGAACAACCAACTAACAGCCGCTGTCTATGTTACCGCCGTGTTGGAGTACTTGACTGCTGAAGTTCTCGAGCTTGCCGGAAATGCCGCCAAGGACCTCAAGGTCAAGCGTATCACCCCCCGCCACTTGCAGCTTGCTATCCGTGGAGACGAAGAGTTGGACACTCTCATCCGCGCCACCATCGCTTTCGGTGGTGTCTTGCCACGCATTAACCGTGCGCTGCTGCTGAAGGTGGAGCAGAAGAAGAAAAACAAGACTGAGGCTTAATTTACGGCGGATACCCCACGAATATGGCGTTTGAAATGATGACGATTGAAAAGGACTCCGGGATATGTCTGTTACAGCGATCGACCTTTAGCTGGTTCTAATTCAACTCCGACCAGTGACAAAAGAAAAAAGAAACATTCAAAGAGGAAAGGGAGAACTGGATGAATAAGCATCTTTCATGACAGGGATTTCCAACAGACGCATCCCCAATCTCTACTCTTCCCTACCCTACGACGCTGCAGTTCGCGATTCTTTTCTCTCTGGTGCTCTGTTTTCCTCTTATCTGCTCCGTTCATACCGTTTGTCTCGAAATACCAGGGCGCTGTAATGGGAAAAGGGTGATATCTTGGTAGTGGGCTTATTTTCGATTTATTTTCAACTTTCCTGTTTCCCTATTGTTTCTCCCCTATTCTTTTTTTCCCAGTGAACTTTTATTCTAATTGATTGACGGTGTTGAGTGCTTCCGAATTATCCACCTCAGTTACCATTACCACGATGTCTCTCTTGAACTTGACGGACTTGTATTGTACGAGTATAGTTTGCTCTTTCGCGAGAAGCTAAATAAAAGATAAAGCCAGGCCATACTCTCCCGGTATTCTACAGGATGTCTGTACTCTCCAAACATTGAACCATGATCTGGGGCCAGGAGTTCCCGACTATTTATAACATTGAGAGGGATTTATACATAATTACACCTAGAGGTTTTCTTGTAATTTACTTGCTATTATCAGAGGTCAAGGGCAGTATCAAGTGATACAGTTTTGCCGCTGAAGAGATGCATCATGGGAAACGTCAACCATGATTGGACTGTTCGAAGCCCGTTCACTCGCATCGTGGAAAGAACGGGCTGGTGGGGACTGTAACCAATTGATAGTTTTACAGGTCGGAATTATGCGAATCAGGTAGAACATACATTTATTGGCGATCTTAGCAGACAAGAGTACTAAAGCAATACGGAGAAAGAAGATTTCGGGAAATAAAAGGCATATTTCAAACAAGGCCCTGACAATACAAGGGCGATTAAAAGGAAAGCGAAGAAAAAGTAGAGATCTGGTTGCATCCGGAGACCGGACCTTTCCAGTGGACATACGACAGGGAAACGGACTGGACTCATTAGATCAGTGTAAATCACCCTGGAGTTGGGAGTACCTATTAGTGTAAAATAGGACTCAGTCCATAGAAGGCGTCAGTTCTCTAGACACCAAAATCCACCCAAACTTGTTTTGTCACAATCCCTCGTTCTGCCACGCCACACATTGCAGGCCAGAGCTGAATTGAACATGCAAGCCAAAAGGGAGCAAAGAGAAAGAAACGTATCCAGAGATCCCGGCAACAAGCACGTTAATTCACTTGGCAGAGGCTCAGATGCCTGTGAAAGAGCGTATAGCGTGGATGGTCGAGACTGAAACAAGCAAACATTAAACAATGCATGGCGCCCCATATACAAAGTAATCCAAAGATGCAAATGCTGGTATGTCATCTCTCTTGCCATGGTAAAAAGACATCGGTATTTTTGTTCGTCCTTTCATCATCTTCCTGTAAGTTAAAAAAATTTTGCTTTCCGCCGACACAAACTGCGAAGAAATAAAATATAGATAAACAAAGATTTCTGGAAGGCGCCCCGCGTCTCATAAAAATTCAGGAGCTTTCGTTCTTTTTCCGTTTTTTTATTTTGTTCCGAGAAGTAAAGAGAAACATATAGTCCGTTTAAACAGCATGCCTGCTGGGCTGCCCCAAAATAACGTCTAAAACTTGGCTAGATCAGAGAAATTTCTTTTGTGGTTCTCTTGGTGAGTGTCATCTCGTCATCCCTCATCGAATCGTAAGCCAATAATCGCAGAACAGGATCAGGCCTCGTGATATAAGAGTCATATGCGTCTTGCGGCAAAGCAATCTAACAAGTTTCGTCGTTTTTCATCTCCCGTCAAAGTTGTTTACTCCACAATGATTTCCACGCCAGAGTTGGTCCGCAATTCGTCGCTGCCACGCGATTGGTGTCCGTTTTGGCGTCGAAAACCTGGGCCCTTTTCGGGCAGGGGGCCTCTCGGCTGCCTAATTGGCACGCGCTCCTGTGACTGTCCGTCAAATCCAACTCCGATGGATCGGTTACTACCGATGGGTCCAGCACTGGAAGGTTGACTTTCCGGCTGTTCCCAAGAAAACATACCCCGCAATCTCCGTGGGCTTGAGCTAGGCCCACCAATTCCAGTTCCCAGAGAAAGGCTGCTGAGACTGTTCACTAACAAATTATCATCCCGCGGCATGCCCAGAGACGATCCAGATGGGGCAGGCGTAAGCGTCGGGGTGTTCGAGGCGCCGCTGGTGGCACCATCATAATGCTGGAGACGTGCGCCATTGGACTGCAGGGCCGCCGGGAAGCTCGCGGACGAAGGTACTGGCGACGGCGTATAGGAACGCAAGTCGGCGAACGACTTCGCTGCACGCAGATTCTGGGCATTGCCAAAATTGCCTGGGGAATCGAGAACACCAAGGAACCCTGACGCCTGTCCCCGCAGGGTGTTGTAGGGGGCAGGACCATCGTTTCGTGCTTCGCTAAAATCAATCGTCGCTGCGCGGTTCAGTCCGCGACGAGCTGTTTCGGCAGGCTGGACTGCGGCAGGAATCGATGACAATGGAGGGCTCACATTGGTGCCAGGAGCCACCTTAAACACATGCACCTGGCGCTGTTCCCCAGATCCACGAGAAGCATGACCCAAGCCCATGTTATGAGCAAGAGTGTGGACGGTGCGACGCTGAACTGGGGAAAGGTTCGATGGGAAAACCAATGTGTCCCGACTGGTATCTTCCTTGAACAGGAGAAGTTGAGAGTAGTACGAGAGCGTTGTGCTGTCATTCAAGTCGACCTCTGCAAAAAGTAGAGTGTGATTAGCGCTAGCCATCGTTGAAAACACGGGCGTCATCGAAAACAAAAACTAAGAGAAAACTTACCTAGCTTCTGGCCACGCTGAGAGACGGGCGATGGCGATGTTGCGGGAAGATGGGAAGTCAGCGAGGACATGGAGCTCTGGGTTTGAAGCTGGGAGGTCGCCATGGGCCGATGCTGTTCTTCCAACTGGCCCCGACGTTCGCGCTTCTCGCGTTCGATGCGTTCGCGCTCTTGAAGCGGCAGCATCTTCTTATACTCCACCCTTAACTTCCGCCCTTGAAGCTCAAAATGATTCAGAACCTCGATGACTGTCGCTGTTTCCTCCGCAGAAGTAAAGTTTGCGAATGCCAGTCCCCGAAACACGCCGTTGTCAAAGTGGTAGTTGAACGCATACGGCAGCGGCAAATTCAGCTCAGTCATCAGCTGCACGAGCTGCTCCTTCTTAACGGCGAAGGGAATATTCTTGATAACGATGGCCGTCGGAATCAACTCATCGTCGGCCTCCGAGGATGCGGATGCTTCTGGGCGCATCGCGCTGCTTTGAAGAGGCCCAGGTCCAAGATTCGAAAAGGTACTAGGCATACCCGGCTGCTGGTCAAGCCAGGTCTACTCTCATGTATTAGTCAAACCATGCACTGGGTCGTTTCGAGTTTTGCGACACTGTACTTACCGTCGGCAAGCCGGACCTTCCTGTGCGAGACGTAGTCTTCAAGCTGGTGGAGGCGGACCGAATGGCTCCAAGAGCCTGAGGGTTGGCAAAGCCATTCGGGTTCCAAGTCTGCGAACCGGAAAGATCGTAGGCATAATTGTTGTTGTGCAGCGAAGGGTTCAGACGCTCCAGACGGCCAGTCTCATAGCGAGACATAGGATCCTCGTACAGATTTACAGGCATAGGGCCGTACGCGTCAAACTGTCGCGAAGGCTGACGATGCAAGGGCTGCTGGTGGCGCTGAGAGCCAGGAGAACGTGCTGGGTTGTCGTGATACATTTCTTGCGCTTGCTGATAACTCATGGCGGTTAAGACAAACGAATTCCCGACGGGCAACCAAACTCTAGAATGTGGGCACAAAAATCCACCACACAACAATCCCGTTTCAATATCCCAATAGCGTGAACGGACTACTCAAACATAGGAGCGACCGAACAAAAGAAAGCCACTTATCGAAGACAACCGGCAGAATGCGAACGGCGCTGTCGAAGGTGGACCAAATTCTCGACTTGAAAGCGGGTGGGAAAAAAAAATAATGGTTCTAGACACCAACGTCACGGCGGGTTGGGATCTGTGGTTGGCGTGGGAAACAAGTCCAGCCAAAATAGCAGTCAAAAATCAGACGAAAAACACAAAACCGCTCACAACTGCTTGTCTCGTGGTGCTTTGGTCATCAATGCCAGGCGTTCCTCAGGCGTCAAATTTTCGGAAACTTTTTCTTTCCCTTCTCCCCAAGGAGAACTCAAAATCGAGGGAAATAAAAAAGTGAGATAATGCGAGGAGAAAAGAAAAGAGAATAAAAGAAACACGGCCACGGAAAAGAAAATACAAAAAGAAAAGCAGCAAAATAACAAAAAGGTTAAAGGGGGGAAGGAAAGAAATAAAAATTGCCACTACCCGGGATTAAGAGTAAGTTGCCCAAGAGGGTTGGAGTATGGGCGAGGTTGACGGACCGGTGGTGGTGAGGGGAGAGAAAAAGGGAAATCAACGAAAAGATGGAAACAGTAATTTGATCTCAGAGTCGAGATTGGAGGTTCAGGCAGGGAGGTCGTGACCCGGGAGATTATTGGGGGTGTGGAAAGCACGCACGCCAAACGGCACGCAGAAAAGCCGGAACACGGCGACCGCTTTAGTTAGGTCTGGTCGGCCCTTCCGCGGATCCGCCAAGTCGACGAATTGGATAGATCGGTCTGCGTTGATGGTAATGGCGGGCTTGACGGTGTAAGATCTGTTGAGAATGCTGGTCGATCTGTTAGAATGAAATTCTTCTCCCAATCCAGTCTGTGTCCAGTATGGCTTGAGATCGTTGCAATCACAGTCAACTCACACACCCCTGTCTTGTCCAGTTCACCAAGGGCAGAAGCAAAGCAAACAAAAATAATGATAATTGAAAATCAAACCCAAAAGAAAAAAAAAAAAAAAAATAGTGTGGGAAAAAAAAGGGAGAAACAGACAGACACACTAAAAAGGATAGTGGATGGGATGAAGGGATTCCCGTAATTGATCCAAAATGGGGAACGGGACGACGGGGAAAAGAAAGACAGACGAGAGAGAGGGAGAAACTGTTCTCACTAGTCTCAGTTTATGTGGTGTGTTCTCTATGTTTTATTGTTTTTTCCCTCCCTCTCTCTTTTCTTTTTCTTTTTTCCCTTTTGGTTGGTGGTTGTTTGAATGTTTTGATTTCCAAAAGAAAATTGATAGAGCAGAAGGTCAAGTCACTCACAAGCAATCGCCCTTCAAAGCTTCCGTGCTTTTTCTTTTATAAGCAATCTCCTCTTGGTCTTTCTTTTTATATCTTTTCTCGGTTTTCTTTGGTGTGCTCCTGTCTGTCGACTGTAATTTTAATCCTTTTCTCAAACCCTTCCTCCTTCAGCTGTGGCGGAGGCAAAAAATACTCAGGAAAAAGGTGGGAAGTGGAAACAAATTATAATACAATGGGGAATCTGAGGCTTTGCCCAAAAGGGGAGTTGGGTTCCTATTGGTAGAGAGGACTTGCGCC